GGTCAATTGCAGCCCTGATTTCCTTTAATATAAGCTTTTTTTGTTCCAAATCAAGATGACTATCTTGCAATTGTTTTAAACTATCCTTCAAATACTTTGTTCCATTTTGTCCTTCCCATTTGCGACCAGATTCTATTGCCCCAAACTCCATGCAATCTGTTGTGATTCTGAAAATTCCATCACCCTTTCTCCCAATTTTCTTCTGATCAGAGGCTGTCCTAAGAGTGATGGCAAGTGGCAGGTGATAACCACCACCAGCATCCTTAAAACACTTACCCAGCAACATTTGATAGTGTTTTGTGCATTTTTATCAAAGAAAAGTTTTAAAAAGAAGTTTGTTATTTGATCAACATGTACACGCTAATTATTTATCCTATTGGTTTTTTTTTTGGTAGGACAGACATGAATTGTTTTTTTTTTGGGAAAACAATTTATTTTTTGACAGAGTCCAAGGTGACAAAATGTGAGCATTGTTGTTTGGTTTGGCTTGGTTTGGGTCTCCTAAAGAAGAAGTGTTAATAACTAACCAGATATAATGTGGTGTATTTTTATTTTGGTTTATAAACATTTTAATTGGAAATCAAAACACAGAGTAGATCATTGTTGGGTAATTACAAGATTTTCATTGATAATATTTTGTTTTTTGTAATCAATATTAATATTATTATTATAAATATTATAATCACAAGATATCAAGGCAGCACACCATTTAAAAAGAGACATTTCGAGTATGTGATGTTTGATTACAGGAAATTGGCAGATGTTAAGCATGCGTGCTACTTTGAACACTTTACAGTCATTCTCTTGTCTTCCTCATGTACAAAAGGCTAATCTGACTAGTGTGCCCTGATGATACAATGATGCAACTGAATTTTCAGGGGGGGATGTGGCCCTGGAATTTACTGAGACTGCACCAATTGTCAATGATGCTTTCACTAATCTTCCCTCACCAGAGAAGGCCACTGCCATGCTGGATGAAAAGTTACCTGCAATGATCCTGCCTCTAGGGCAAGGATGGCACTGTGACCGAGTCGCAACTCTGCTGATTAATATTAAAAGAATCTGCAGCTCGTTTCAAGCACAGGAGGTCACAATTCAGAGCAGGGTTTGTGGCCCTGAAATTGCATTTGGGCTCTGATGTTAAGAGGAAAGTTGTAAAATAGTGTTTGTTTTGTATAACCACTTTCATAAATTCCCTGTTTTTCTGATGCTAACCAATTTATGATTTTGGGTAAGGATTGAGATGGGTTTTGCCCAATCAGTTCTCCTGTTATATAGTTTAAAATTATCACATGATTATATACATCCTTGTCAGCAATATTGCCAACAAGGAAAAAGAAAAAAGCCATAAAAATGGTTTGGATTTTGTTGGGTATGTTATAAATTAATCATTTTCATATTTCTGCTTCTCTAAATTTTTATCTGACCAACTGAATTTGTTATTTTAGTAAATGGGGGTAGGGTTGTTGGTGAGTAGGCATGCCACTGACAATACAGGGGACACCTTTGGGATGTACCAGTTAAACTTGTAGAAAGGGATTCTTTGTCCAGGCTTAGGGTCACATGGATGTTAAGCACAGAAAATGTGCACTATCAATGTATATATTTTTTTCAACAAAATAAACATTTAATAATTAATTGTTAAATATTAATACTTTTCATTTCATAAGAATCACAGCAACCAAGGACTCAAAACTCTGAATTCAGGGAAAAACCAAAACAGCAACCTCCTGATTTGCAGAATTTTCAACCAGTTGCAGACACCAACTTTATTTATTTCACCTTTTAATGGCATTAATTTCAATAATTCTTGAATCAACCACACAAGTGATAGTCAGTTTAGATGGCTTTTTTTAAAAAAGGTTTAGTTGAATTAATGTTATTAAATGTTTTTTTT